TTATGTGGAGCCGATCATACAGTTATTTCCAAGATTACTGGTCATTCATCAGGTACAATCACAAGATATATGCAATTCTTTCGTGAATTGGTGGTTAGTACACTTGAAGATGAGGAGAGTGCTATCGGTGGTAAAGATGCGATTGTAGAGATAGATGAGTCAAAATTTCTTGCGAATGTCTTTTTTGTGTGTGGTCAGAAGATCAGCGGAAAGAGTACTGATATGAGTAGTTGTTTTTATATAATTAATAATAATAAACAATTAACAATAATATTAATAGTTAAATATCAAGTATCAAAATATTAGAAAAATATAATATTATATTTTAAATTTAATTTAAATTATTTAGTTGAGACTTGGTTTTGTTTAATCTGAATTAGCCTAATAAAATTTTTTATATTTTTTAAATAATATAGTTCTTTAATTAAAAAAATTTTTTTTGTTAACTTATAATTATATTATAATAACTTGTTTTTATTAAAAAATTAAACAAAAATTTTATAATAAGTTGCAAATTTTTATAAAATTATTAACTTGATTTAATATATAAATATTCTAAGTCAAATTTTGAAAACAATATTATACTTCCTTGATATGATTAGATTAATTATAATCTATAAAATTATTACTAATAGTTTGTCACTATTGATTAACCCAAAATCAATAAATTATTAAATTAAGAAAAAAGAAAAAAATAATTATTAAAAGTCAAGTTTTTGAGTAAAGAAATTTATAAATAAAAAAAAAAGAATAAAAACAACTTTTGAAGTTATACTTCAAGTTGTTTTAATAAAAGTATTAAAACTTTATTAACAAAAAAGTATAAAAACTTCTTATGAACATCTTTTTTATATATAGTTAGAATATTAATAAAAGAGTTTTTAATTTACAAGATTAATTTTTTTTTTTTTGAGTATTTATAGTCAAGCTAGATTATCAGTTTATTAATCAATTGAAAACATAAGTATATTTCTATTCAAGCAGCATGATATATACTATAGCTAAACTATTATTTTAATCTAACTAACTTATCTTAAGCATAAAAGTCTCTAAGTTTAGCCTTGAAGATAATATTTCACTTTGCAGTGTCTTTGAATAAAAACCCTCCTAGTCCACTGCATAATTGTTAGCAGGTTGTCACTACTGCATGTTATACCAAGCCACTGGAATATAGGAAACTACAAAAGGATGGGTTCAAAAAGGGGAGAGGAAATATCTAAAAATATTTAAATAGACAACAAGAAAATAAAAGAGTAAAAATTGAAAAAAATATTTCTGGCTTTCTCCAAAGACCTGCTTCTCAAAACCTCTTCTCAATAAGAAATATCTGATTGAGAACCCTTTTTTTCCTGACTATTTAAGGAACTTATCCATTCTTGATCTTCTTATATACTATCTGAGAAGACTTATTACCTAGTAAGAGTCTTTACTTCCAGAATACACTTAGTTCCAACCTTCTTTGGGTAGTAATTTTTGATTCACCTGTGGTAAATAGATAACTTATGATAGATCCCAGGTTCTTATATGACCTAGTAGGGACTAGGTCATGTTGTTTCAGTGTGATACCTTCTAGTAGCCATGCCTAATTAAAGGAATTTTATTAGTATACATCTTTCATTATCCAAAAAATCAGATTTTCCAATAATCATTTTGCCTTGTAATAGTGAAAGGGTCTCAAGAGTAGTGAGGATTCTCATCGATTGTAATATCCTTCAACAACTTCTGGAAAAATGTATTCTCAACTGTAATTAAAGGGTTGAAGCTTAGTATAGACTAAAGACTATTCAGTCTTATTGCCTGACCGGAATAAGAGGAAGACCTTAATCTTGAACTTTGCCTGACTGGGATAATAGAAGAGAAAAATCTCAGCTTGAATGAATAGTAAATTTTCACTATCTGGGAACTTGTTGCTCATATCTTATTGACCTCATGGAACTTAATCTATAGATTAATCCAATTGAAGGAGTGAAGCAGACACAGGTACCAATTAACTTTTTTTATCACCAATAACATTATCGGAACATATGAGGTGATCAATAAGAGCTTGTTAACATTAAATTACTAATGTGTTTTATATAAACCAATCAGATGCCAGGTGATATTGTGTTACCAGAAATTCAGAATCAAATTGAGGTAGATAAAATCCTCAAGAAAACCCTGAAAAACAGTAGACACTTTAAGAGAGTACAAGATAGTATATAAGAAGGTAGATAATAAGCCTTCCCCTATTAACAAAACCTCTATTTCTTGTTACTTTTAGCTCTGTAAGATGATACTTCACTTGTTAATTCTTTTACTTTCTAGAACCTTCTTGTCCTTATTAGAGGAAGTGCATACTTGAGTCTTTTCAGATCACTAGAGGCTCAAGTTTTTATTCAAAGGAGTTTATAAACAAGTAAGAGAGAGTAGAAGAGATACATAAAGACAAGTTTCAAGTTGTTTTAATAAAAGTGTAAAGACTTTATTAGCAAAGAAGCATAAAATTTCTTGTGAACATATTTTTTTATATGTGGTTAAAGAATTTACAGAAAGAGTTTTTTTTAATTTTTTTTAATGTGCAATCATGCTACAATGGCGTGTCTTTATTGAAATATTGAGAAATACCTAAATATTTTCAGACTTTCACAAAATGATTAACTTGTCATTGTACATTATTAGTTAAAGGACTACACTACTTATAAAATATAAGAAGTTCACGGCTAATCTTCAGTTTACGGGGTACGATAATCACCGTGATATCTAAGAGGGAAATGTGATTATCTCGAAAAATCA